TTTTCACATTTTATAGCCTATACTCAGTTTGAAGTGGCACAATTTAAATATTACATGATCACCATTTTTTTATTTTTTTTAATAAATTTTCGTAAGATTACTGATATTAAAAGAATTTTATTTTAATCAAGTTTTTATTCCTACTTTTCTTCTTTTTTTTCTCATAACAACATGCGATATACAACACGCTGTATTGTATATAACAATTTGTAACAATATCCAGACAAGCCAGAAAGTGGACAAGATATATATTGATATTAAAAAATATCTATTATATTAAATATAGTTTCTTGAAATTATAAAATTTAAATAGGCTTTATTGAACAAAATATTTAACACTAAAATATAAAGTTGTATTTAATATTTTTTATTCAGTGTCCCGACGTCTCGGAGTTTTTTCAAAGTCAAAAAAACGTTGAAATGTCGGTAACACTAAATAAAAATATTAAATATTATAGTTTTATTTAATTTTAAATACTTTGTTGACTGAAGCCTATTAAAATTTATTAAATTATATATTTAAATATTTGACGCGCAATTAAAAAAGGTCCGCCAACGCTTTGTGCTTATTGCGCTGCACAATAAGGAACAAGAAAACAAGCCAAATTGGTTCTCAACGTATAAAATTTATTTTTTTTTAATTATTGTTAATTTACTAAAAACTGTTACAAATATGCTATATAGCTTGTACCAATTATTTATTTGTATTTAACCTACCTTTTATATATACAGCATTAATTATGTGCATTTTATATTAAACAATTTATGTGGCCAATTTGAAACTAACTGTAATAAGTGCAGTTCTATAAAAAAACACAGTTTCATATAAGCATCTAAATAAATAATAAATTATTTCAATTACCTTGTTAAAAGATATATTTGTAAATAGTTCAACACTTTTAACTGTTTAAATAAATAATAATTGAAACTATAATTACTCACAATTATTGAAACTACAATCATATTTTGAAAATTGTTTTTTGTTCAGCAACCACAATGTACAGTACAGTAACTCTCAAACTTTAAAAGTGACGTTTCGCAACTACGTTATTAAGCATTTCACATTACGTGACGTAAACTAAACAGCTGTTGGACACTTTTTTAATTACACGTTCTAAGTAAAATCAGTGAAAATATTAGAACGCTGAGGAAAGTTAATTAAATAATGTCTGCAATTGTACAATTGACAAGAATTTGTGGTAAACAGCAAGGAAGAACGATAAACACATTTCATGCCATAAAAGGCGCCAGTTTCTATAAATTCAATATTACGAATAATCGTGTGATTACACACTTGGTAAGAAAATAATAGAAAAAAATCAAGACTATGTTTGCTGTGGTTCCAAATTATCAATTGCAGATTTCATAACAATATGTTAAGCAATTTAACTAAAAAAATAAAACAAATATGTTTTGTTATTTATAAGTTAGGTCAATCAACTGTTAAAAAGTGTGTTGTTTTGGCCTTTTTTTGTAAATATGCAATTTATCGGAAAATTAATAATATTATTCTGATTTCAAATAATATATAATAATTGTTGGCAAATGTAAGATTAGTGTAAATAATAATTAAAAGATTTGGTTTTATCATATATTGCAATTGCACACAATTGATAACAGTAGATAACAAATTATTACAAAAAAAACTCAAATTTTCAATATCACGTATTCTGTTAATGGAATCAAGTTCCATTAAATCAACTAATTTCCTTTCATTAATAAAATAATTCGATTTTAATATTCTAACTTATACTTTTAATTGTTAACTTATAATGCTAAACTAAACAATTCCAAACAATAATAATATATGTTTGGCTTATATGAAACTTATGCTTTCCCTAAACTTGCTAACGTTGCTAATTGTTGCTTTTCTTTCTAATTTTCTCGTTGCAGAATATTTAAGAGATTAAGAAGCAATAAAAAAGTTTTAACTTTGCCAAACTCCAGTAAAAAAAAACAAAAAAAGATTTCTCAAAATAGCAAACAACACACTTTAACCGTTGTGAAAACAAAAGCTGTACAAGTTTTAAGTTTCTAAATTACTTAGATTAAAGCCTTACATTCCCACCTAACGATCTATTAAAAATGGGTCGCACTTCACGTGTACGTAGGCGTCTGCACCGCAAGTCAACGCATGAAGAAGGTAATTTTTTACCAGATCTATATAAATATATGCATTCGAAAGGTTGGAAAAATGAAAGTCAACTAACAGTACGTGACTTCTCTGAGACTGGACGCGGTATATGTTACAAGCAAACACAAATAAATAACCATGATAATATCATTATAAAAGTACCAATAAAATCATTCATCACCATTGCAACATTAGAGACAGATGATGACTTCAAGCAGGTTTTTAGTTCCGTTGAGTTCAGTGAAGAAAATCGTATCAATTTTCAAGAACTTCTAGCACTTTATCTATGCTATCAGAACCATCTGCAGCAGCGGTCACCATTATACGCTTACCTCCAAACAATACCTAGAAGCTTTACAAACCCATACTTTTGTACGTTAGATGAAATGCGTTGTTTACCTGAAGAACTACTCGAAAAGATAATAGCACAGAAAACAACAATCAAAACAAGCTACGCAAATTTAAGAAAAATTCTCGCTACGAACCACTGTGCCTGTTGTGGTTTACACTTTCTTGATGTTACTTTTACTATACAGTTATATGAGTGGGCCTATTTTGCTGTTAACTCCCGTACAGTACATTTAAGTACTAATTATGTGACAACAAATAATGGTGTGTTCTTCAAAAAATTACTGAACAATGCACCCACTATGGCCTTAGCACCATTTCTGGATATGGCCAATCACAGCGATAAAATCAACACTTGTCCTATGGTCATTGCTAATGACAAAAATGAGTTGGAATTTATGATAAAACTAGAACGTAGTTCACTTCCAACCAAACCCTTTGAGCAACTATACATCAGTTACGGCATGTGTACAAATTTTCGATTATTAACAGATTATGGCTTTTCGTTGCCTGGTAATAGACATGAAGTCTTTACTATCACTCTAAGTGATATTGAAAAGTTTATCAAGGCTGGCAAAAATGGTTACGGTTACTCCTTCCATCGTAATAAGTTCAAATTTATACGTGATCATAACCTTCATGATGCTATGTTAATTATCTTTGACGAAGGTATGTCACACAATCTGCATTTGGTCTTACATTTGTTATTTAAAGTGGAGTCGTATTTCCCGAATATATTAAGTGAGATTGCATTTGGTGATGCACAACAATTGGCTGATGTACAATTGGAACTGAATTTATTGTTGGAATATAAAATTTCAGAGTACACGACTTTTCTACAGCAATTGTCTCGGCTTAACACTCTAACAGCATCTGCAACTATGGCAAAGAATTACCTTACAGAATGTATTGAGTTCCTAAAAATGTACATAAGCTAGTTATACTATAGGATACAGTATATAAAGTAGTTTATACAGTTTATAATACAAAGTAGTATATAATCATATAATTTTGGCTAATGTATAAAAATTAGTTTTATTGTCCGGGTACATGTCTCGGCGCCAATCGTCGCCTATTCAAGTAGCTCCGTGCGGGTTACAACAACAACAACAAAACTTGACTGTCTGAAATAAAGGGTGGATCAAAAATATTGCTAACTGCTCTAGAAAGCTTTAAGCTAATTTAAGTCTATGATGTCATATATTTCAATGGACGCTCTGGAAAACGCACAGTTTCTTAAACAGACGTTTTTCATTATATTATAATCTTTCTGATTTAATGCAAAAGTTTTCATAATTTTTTAAAAAGAAAAGAGAAATTTTAATGTACACATATGTAAATATATTTATGTATATATATAGATATATATATATATATACCAGTTATATTACAATATATTTATTAATTATATGTTGAGCTCTCATATATAGATGTGTTAATAGAACACTTCCACATATATATATACATATATAGATAGATATAGATAACTTTTTATTGAGCCTTGTAATATTAATAATATATATAAATAAAAATTGATATTAAATAAAATATTAATATAATAATAATAAATATTAAAATTAATATTTAGTTATTACTTAATTTTGTATTCTTATAATCAACTAATAAACTAAAGTTTAAAAGTTAAAGTTATTTTAAATATATTTTTTTTTTATGCAAAATAATTATAAGTATATATGATGAAAAGAAATCTAAAAATATAAAAAAAAATTTGGAACCTACGCAAATTATTTTTTTAATAAGAATATTGGCCTTTAAAATAATAAAGAAACAAAAATTAATAAATATCAATTCTAAATTATACATATTATGTTATTATTTTACACTTTTAATATACAAGTATTTCTCAGCCCAAAATGTACTACATATCACAAAATTAAGCAATGAGCTATACATAGGTCGGTAGCAATATTTGTTCAAAAAATAATGTCCGATCATTCACGAATCAGTGGTTTCAGCAGTGAAGTCATCTTGACTATTTGCATGGGTTCTTGCTGCGTTCTTCGTAGCTAGGAGCTTATGAGATCTCTCCGGTTCTTTGACACAATTGTGATTGAACAATTATTGTGGAAACTAGATCAGTTCACTTGTTTTCATACCATCAATTGGCAGAGGAATAATTCGCCAGAGATGAAGCGAACCAAAACACTTATCATTTTTTCATTATTTTTTTGGGTTGAAAGTGGTTATAAATCCACTTTTGGAATTCTAATAGGTCTTGCTTTTAGAAAAGTACATTAATTTGATAAAATAGATGAATAAGGTCCGAAAAGTTTCCAAAAAAACCAATTAAATCTTTTAAATAAAAGGCATATGTCTTCAAATAAAAGATATTAAATCAAAAGATATAAGATTAAAGGTATTTGTATGAATAGTTGTCAAGATATTGAACGATTCTTGATTAAACAATTTTTTTAGGCAGAGCGTTTTTGTTATCTTATATATCGGTAGATACTAAAAGTGTAATGCCTACTATTACATTTTTTTTTTTTTTGCATCAATAAGTCATTTCTCTATAAATTCCGGCGAACAGGCTCCTAGATAGTATGTCTACAAAAAATTCTTGCGAAATCTCTTTTGTGGCACGTGACTGCAAGGTAAACCATGAATGCTTACGCTGTACATTCCGCTGGCATATACATTCCGGCACTACTCGTATTTTCAAACGAGCAAGTGTTGCTGCTATTTCTCAATACCTATCTTAATATATGCTCTACATTAATCATGTCACCGTCAGATGATGAGTATCCATCTAACACCATCTTTCGTTTATTCAATAGTACTGGATAGCTTCCTACCATGTACTTCACAGTCTTCTATGTTTTTCGTTTTCTCACAATTCAAAGTTTATTTAGCTGGTAAATTAACCGACATTGTCCTGTTAGAATTTTCATTATAATCTTTAAATTATTTCCTGTTAAAATCAGTCCCTTATACGTGAATTAGAATGTATTAGACCTTATAGGTTTTCCCAGCATAATATCCTTATTTTTTTTTATATTTTAATTTTCTTTTCTTCTAAAAAGTAGAAGAAATGTTACTCTTCTTTGGTCGAAAAAAAACTAGGCCTACAACACCTCTTTTGCCTTCGATTATTTTGACTCAGTATGTTTAGCTTTTTTAAGCACAGCCATCAACAGTTCTCATGGGACTAATAATTACTAATATGTATAAAAATTTATCAAATATATATTTAAATAAAAAAAATTGCATTTTTTTTATAATTTTTAGATATATTGCACACGATCTTCAAGTTCTGTTGAGGATGTCACGAAACCGAAAAGAAAAATTACGCCATTCACACCAACGCCTGGCAGTAAAATATTGGGTGGAGTTTTTGCTAAAAAAGTACCGGCGAAAGGTAATTAAACTAAAAATTGCAATAATAAATATATTTATAAAGGATGCTCCTGTGACAACATTGATACTAAAATAAAAAAAAATATTTAATAAAACTGCTCGGAACTTAATATGGCTAGAAAACCTTTTGGGTTTGTAAGTTACAAAAGTAGGTTGTTAAGGTGGAAGAACGTAAGTTCAAATATAAAGAAACTGCTTGTTATATCAGCACATCTGTTATGTATTTAACTAAATTTAATTGTAAATAAATTTCTGCATTTGAAAGATACTAACACTTTACAATCAGATGTGCATTAACTAGTAATTTGTCACCATCTTCACTTGGTGAGGAATTTCAATTGGAGTCCTTAATAGCTAGTAGCGTCTGATAAACATGTATAAACATGTATAACCTTATTATTTTTTTAAAGAATGTGACACTATATGGTCAAACTAGTATTGCATATAATAAAAGAAAACTAATTTTAGTGGTGGATATGTGAAACCTTTAAGTCTATACTTATTGTACTTAGATATATGTACGAAAATAGTCCTACAGAACTAAATTTAATTTATAATTATATAGTCAAAACCTTGCTTTTAATCTTAATCCAAAATTTATTTTTTGTGTCCGGGTTAGATTACGAATGCTTCATCAAAGATAATACTATAAGCATCGATGTTTTATGTCTCAATACTGACTTCAGTCATACTTAAGCTATCAACTTTTTTGACTTAAGTCAGTTTTGAGATTTAAGTATCTATTGTGAAATCAGTCCTGAATTGCTGAAAATCATTATGCCTTCTAATACTTAAGATGTAGAAGTTTTGCATTTTTGTAGTGTGCTGCTACATGCTTCTTGTGGAATGGTCTTCTTATATTTTTTTAATAGAGAGCGTTACTTAAAACCTATAAAGAAATGTCTGAAAATGATATATTTAAATGTTTAATGTGAACCCTCAACTGTTATTTGTAACTATTGCTAACAGGTTGTTACCTGTTAATGGATAGGTGAAAATATTGAACCCAGCTTGTGTTTAGATAAAGGAACCAAGTTGCGTTAATATGATTGGATTTATAAGCAGACGTTTAAATAAATGTGACTGAGATTAGTATGGTCAACTTAACATAAAAACAGATGGGCGGTGTCATTAGATGTAGAGCTACAGTTCGGATAAACATAAGAGATAGACAACAAAATAGTTGTTTAATCATTTTCAAACAACTTCCCAGTAAAGTCTCAGAGGTTTAACTGAATCGATTTAGTCTGTTTTCAATTCTCACAACTGAATTATGTTCATTAGTTTCAAATTTCTATTATATATGCAAAATTTAGTTTTGATACTAATACTCGTATGATAGAATCTCGAAAAAACAATAAATTAATAGAAAGAAGTTCCTCCCTTATTTATATAATATTTATTGTATTCAAAATTTGCTAAAAAGTTTAAGAAAACTATAAAATT